GGAGCTGTGGCTGGGGGGGGCAGCCATTGCCGGGGCTGGGGGAGCGGGCAGGGGATGGGGCCTGTCCGATTTGGAGACTTGGCTGATTCAGCAGCAGCTGAATCTCTAAATCAGATTCAGCCAAATTGATTCAGGTCAGTGATTCGAATCACCAAATCAAATCACTGTTCCCCGAATCAGCTGAATCCGAATCTGAAGCAAATACAAGCCATTTCGCACAGGCCTAATATACACCTCAATAGGAAAATTGACACTGGACAGGTTCCCAGGTGTGCCAGTGTATACCTAGGTGAACTCTGAGGTGGCATTAGTAGCTTTATACCACTTCCTGTCTTGCAGTCTGCCTGTCCATCTGGGCAAGTTAGAGCCACTCTAAGACTGCCCCGATTCATTCCAGTGGATAACAAATCCCAACAAATAATTCCAATGGTCAAGTTCATTGGCATGCAGCGCACTCTGTCTTGGCCCCTTCTCACTGTGGCACATCCCAGATGACCACCAAAATACTCCCACTATGCTATAGAGAGTCCTGAGTGACCATTGTGGGGTTGGCTGTTCTGAGAACCTGGCTCTTTATGCTTAATGCTATAGAGAGCACAGGTGATAATGCTGACCCTCTTCCAATGGCTTATAAACATCCAGTTTTCATAGAAAATGTGAACTTTTCCAATAGCATCATAGGCTAAGCAGTATCACTTACAAATTCTCATGCAACTCCCAAAAGGCCAGTGTCTTGCAGCAAAGGGATTGGAGATGGACCACCGCATCAGTCACTCTTGCGCATGAAAACCACTGGGGATTTGGGGGACCCTAAAGCAAACAAACGGCCAGTTTAGAAGCAGTTCTGTGTGAACGCTCGCTATTGGAACATTCAGCGCATAAAACTCCCTGGGCGCGGGGGAGCCGGAGAAGAGAGTTTTTCCACTCCTAACAAACAAAAGAAAACTTTTAGCTTGGGCCCAGTTTTGCCTTTTGTGAAGCTCCACCCATTTCTGTAACATGAAAATTCACATTACACATTTTCTGATGCATCCAGTAGTTCCTCTAGCAAAATAAGGGCAGACCCAGATGAATATTCCTGAGGAGTCTATGGTTAAAAAAAAAAAAAAACTTTAAAAATGCAGATAGCTTGAGGAAGTGGTGGATGAAAAAAGGATAAAGACCCAGCTTTTTAAAAAAAAAATCCTTTACCTTCCTTCATTACCTACTAAAACAAAACAAGGGTTTCTCACTTTAAATAGACTTTGTTTTTACCAGCCTTTCAAGCGGAGATAAACACACAATTGCCATGGGAGAGATTTCACAAGCAAGGTAACCATGTGAATGGTCCAGAGTTCCTTATCCGCTTCTCAGATTACATTGTCGGAGACAAGGGAAGAATAGCCTAACTCCCACTGGACTTGTAAAACCAGGTAGAAGAGGTGATTATACCCAATTATCAAATGGCCTTGCAAGAAAACAATCATATTGTTCAGAACAGTTCTTTTCTGACTATGCCATTGTACAGTTTGTTTTCTTTGCGCACAAACTTTTGTTGTTTTATATGGTGCAAATAATTATATTTCACTCTAGTAATGCACCTGGTGTTAATTGCATACGAAAACAGACAATCTCAGAGCAGATCTAACTAATCCAGCACTTCAAGGTACAAGACTGTAACGCCCTGAACCAGGCCGCCTGAATAGGTTGAGTAAACAAATTGGAATGCCAGGTGGTATTTTTGAGCTTACAGTATGAAACGGGAGAAAGAAATAATCTGATGATGGTGACTAAAGATAAACTATGTCGTAGTTGCTCTCAGACTCTTCTATCTTCCCTAGTTTTGCCTTGACTTTATAGTCACTTTTCCTTGTTACCTGGTGACTGCCCATGTGCGCAAACCTTTGTAATGCACTGACATGACCTCTGGCTGCAAAACCTTTTGTAAGGGATAGTAACTCTGTTTTCAGCTTTTTCATTTAATTTTATTTTAGGAAATAAAATACAGAGTCACTGCAGAAAACCACATAATATAAGTATGTGGCAGAGCATTAGTGGGAATGTAGTATAGTGAGATCTGGTCTTCCCAGGACATTTGTGTTCTTGAAAGACTGGCTTTTGTCATCTTTTGTCCACCCCTGGTCAGCCCACCCAACCTTACCCCATCCCCAAAATGAACTGCTCAAAACCCCCCCACAGAGTGTTAACAAATGCAAATACCAGTGCTTCTGGATAGTGATGGAGGATGAGCCACTTGGATTTAATTCCTCTTTGTTGTTACACCATGTGGATGAATTTAGAGAAAGAAGAATCCAGAGGGTTCGGAGGACTGCACCATAGTACAGTATCAACCAGTAGATGCCATGCTGGTTGGAGTATGTTTGTGCTGTAGTCTAGAGATCATCCAACTAGTTTAGACACCAGAAGTACAGGTTCTACATGGGATAATTTATGAGTTTTCCAGCAGAGTAAATTAGTTTGCATGGACTTCCCTGCTGCCCTAGCTGGACTGCTTCTGCCACTTGAGCTAGTTTGAGTATGGCTGCATTGTCTCTCTAACTTGGAAGATTTGTGGATTAATCTGCTATATCAGCAGCTTGTACAACTGTAAAATACTTTGCTACTTGCCATGTTTATGATGGCATGCTGCTTTAGGTTGGCTTATTTGAATTTTAACCCAGTGAATTGTTAACAAATTAGCAGCCATATATATCTTGGTGACTTTGACTTTGATTTAACTCCAGACAGTTACATTGGTGCAGCATTAGACCTCAGCCCTAAATTCCTTTTTAAACAATACAGACCATATTTAGATCTTAAAGTGCTTAAAGGCATTGAGCCAGACTTTCAAAAGGTCAAAGAGTCTCACTTTCACTTAAGCAACAAAATAGGAAACAAACTTAACAAAATGCTTTTTCACCTAACAGTAACTGCTGTGTTATTTAAAAACACATTTTCCAAGAAGTTTGGTATTTGATGTGATGAACTTTTCTGAAAATTTGGCTCCTTCTTTTGATGGCTTAATGAAAACTGAGTTCTCTCTTGAAAAAAATCTGAATACCTACTAAAATCAGAACAGAGGAAAATATTCAGGTGTGGGAAGATACAGGCTGATATCATCCAGAATGAAGTAGGTGTGCTCTGAATGGATTTAGTGTAAATCCCTATTTGGAATAAGGCAACATCTGGGGAGTTACAGATGTGTCAGGACCTTTCCAAGTTATGGCCAGGATCAGTCAGGTACAGGGTAGGTTTCCTGTGCTATTACACATTATTATTAATTCCATAATACCCTTTTTGAAAATTCAGTCAGTCACAAATGGCCTACGTGGAATTTGCTTAGCCTCAGGCCTGATTTTTGCTCCAATGAAGGTATTTTCTTCCTTTCCTTCTCTCACCCAGTTGGATGAGTATTTACCAAGTATCAGGTTGCTTAAATTACTTTTGGACATCATGCTGGAAGATCCTAGAGGATTAGAGGCAAGAAGCCTCAGACAGGGTCAGATAAATGGATATGAAACTCCCTTTTTGGAAGAGAGAAGGATGTAGTTATTGTATCATTGTTACCAGCATCTCAAATCAGTACATGGATGTAACACTAGAGAATCTGTTATATTCCCACATTACCATCAACTTTTTTCCAACTAGAAGTATTTGTACCAAAAATACTGAAACTACACTCCAGTCTATTATTTATCTAGTTGCTCTTCCCACCCACCCCAGCCATCTGCAGTAGAGTTCACATTTCCATAAATAAGAGAAGCAATTAGCTCCTATGCATTAAACCGACTTGAAGCTCTCTGTATCTTCTAGGGTCCATGCCCATGTAAATCTTAGACTGATTTAATGCACTTTAATCCAAGTAGAAGTCAGGTCAGTGTGGCACCTCATAAATGAACTAATTCAGAGTGATCTTTCATAGACTATAGCCAAGTTCATCCAATGCTAAACTGTAGCTTATCTGAACAAGTTAGTCTATAAGGTGCCACTCTGCCCTGGCCTTTTGCCTAACTTCCGACCAACATGGTTAACTACATTTCTTTAACCTGAGTGTTAGTGTGAGAAGTTGAATAGCAAAGGGGACCCTGCAAAGGGAAGATTTTACCAATTCCATGAATAGCTAAGTCCAATAATTATAAAACTTACTTTACATAATTCACTTGCTCAAAAACAAAACCACTGACATTTATACAGCAGAAATGTTGATGTCATCCCTAGTTATTGCCTCTAATTGTTCCTCTAGGTCATGAAGGCAGAATAGGAATGGCTTCCATTCGACTAATGGAGGGCTGTGAATTCAATGGGGAAAAGATGTACAAACATGTTCAAGACTACCTGCCAACTTATGCAAGACCTCGCTTTATCAGGATTCAGGTAAGGCAGCCTTTCTGCATCATTGCCTGCATTCTCTTTTCCCTTGTTTCCATGAGGACTTCAGATGCTTATAATTATACTGGCAATTTTCAAAAGGCTTCTCATGCTTGCTGTACATCATTATGGGAGGAGAACTGGACTCATGATGTTTCCATTTTGCCTGGAGGAAGAAATGATACGAGCACATAAGAATATAGGATACTTGATATGTTTTAACATCCCCAATAAATCAAGGGAAATACATGGACCCTCTGTTTCATTAATTTAGCACAGTGAAGGGAGCTATGTTTCCAATTAAGGCCACTATTCTGCAAATTTAGAATATGGATCCATCCACATGGAACCATTGACAGAATAGGGTCCTAAATTTTAATGTATTAATAAATAAAATCAAACAGTCTTTTTTTCCTTATTACTCATGGTGAAAAATATTTGTCTTATTGAAGAAACTATTATAAAGGTAACTTGATTTGACTCTAGTATTAGCTCTGTATCTATTTCTTTTTTTTTTTCCTGAAGAAGATCATACATTTACTGGGATGGCTTAATAGAAGCGTATATACAGAGATGTTAACATCCCAAACCACTTGATTCATCTTCAGGCTTTGGGGATACTACCCACACAAACTTTATTCACTCAACTGTGTACTAATTTGCCATCCGAGGTACAGCACCGTACAGCCTCTTGCAGAGAATCCCATGTCTCCTGAGAGTGATCCTGCTCTTTTTCACCAGACCCAGGTTGAACTCTGACCGAGGTATATAGCACCAGGGCTGCTTAAGGAACTCCCCTTAAATCTAGCTTTCCTGTAGTCGAGACTGTCCTAAGAGCCCGTCTTCCCATTTTCTCTTGTTCTTGGAAGCAATTTTGCCTACATTGGTCAAGCAGTTCCCCTTCTGTGACCTGAAAGAAGCTATATAGTCTGCTACACCATTTATTTAATAGCCAACACAAGCCCTTGGTCCAGCAAAAGATTTTGCTGGATCAGGCCTAAAGCAGCTGACACTTTAGCTTACATTGAAATGTTTGTGAGAATGACCAGTAGAGTCTCTGAGCCCCAGTTAAATAGTACAGTATAGGTGGCCTAACATGGCATTCTGCTGCTGTGACCCCAAGCATATCCAGGCTCCAGAAAAGACTCCACATGCTGAAACCTGCAGAAACAGTTCAGGGTGAATTCAGCTATGTAGACATTTTTTGTTAACATGTCTTTGACTCCTATTCCTGATATAATGCGACAGAGCTGCGTGACATACCCGACTTCCAGATCTCAGAAGATATTCAACATGTTTGCTATACTAAATATGAATTACATTTGTATTTCAGTATTGCCCTTGAAGAAAATACAAGACTCCTTTCTTCTTAATGGGTTGATTATTCCATCTTGAAAAACAGTCCCCAGAGTCACTATTGTCCCCTTATCAATATTTTTTTATTTTTGTTTTTATAAAGGATGTCATCGAGGTCACAGGAACTTTTAAGTACCGTAAAGTGCAGTTAGTGGAGCAGGGCTTCAACCCAGCAGTTGTCAAAGATGTCTTATATTTCCTAGATGACAAAGAAAAGATGTATGTGCTGATGACACCTGCCATTTATGACTCTGTACAAAACCACAGTATAAGATTGTGAGTGTCTAAAATTAGTCTTTTGTAATATTCAGTTTTTTAAATATATCCTAACTTCAGAAACTCTAGAAATCCATTTTTATGTATTGATAAAGGTTACAGTAAGTTTGTATTTGAAATCATGCATAAATCCAACTTTTACTGATTACAGAATGTGAAAATATTTTTCTTTATTCCTTTGCTTTGCAAACTGCCCATGTACAACTGTGATGCAGAACATTGCTGTCTGACAGAACAACTCTGGCTCCTCCTCCCTTGCCCCAAACATTGTCCACTCCTTTTGTCTTACTGTTTCCTTCCGCCCTTTCTCAAGCTGTCCACACACCCTCTTACCTTGTGCACTATCATTCCATTTCCTACTTCACTTCTTTCAGCTCACCTTCCACCATCAACCTCTATTTTTTATGCCATCTGTTCCTATTCTTATGTCTAAACTTATTCTCCCATGCTATGATTTAGGAAAGCATTTAAGTACATGGTCAAATTCTTTCCTGAATTAGCCCCCAAAATAGAATCAGAGGGAGAATTCAGAATTAGAATTCTGAACACATATAGTCTATCTCATTAGCCAAATCACATTTTTGTTGTGTTTCTGTGGTGATTCCTTATGTTATATATATAATTTGTAATCTCTTTTGGAGCAGGGACCTATTGTCTTCTATTTCTTCTGGCTTCTGTGGTGCTATATAAATAATAAACTGTAATGCTGTATTAGTTGTTCAGGAATGTATGTTCAAATACCACCCAGTCCCAAATACCACCCAGTCTTTGAAGCTGTACCCCAAGAGCACTGCATCTGTACCCTCCTTTTTGTGCCCTTTGCCAGTACACTGAGGTCTTCATAGATCATTACTCTGCCCAGAGATAGCAGCACTCAGAACCATTCAGCTTTCTGAGCAGTTAATCTCTTATGCTACCCATCTGCACACAATTTCCACTGACTTCAGCCTGCCAGAGTTACTCAATTCTTTCAAGAGATTTTCTGCCAACCAGCTGGGGCCCTGTTTTGAAAATAAGGGAGGAAAGAAGGCAACACCTGGGCTGTGTGCATACACAACTAGTGCTACTTTAACTACACTTAAAGCAGTGTATTTAAAGTATTTAAAGCAGTTTAGCCCCCTCTCACCCACTTTTGAAACCTGGTGATACCCAGAGTGCGTTTAAGTGTAGGTAAAGGAATAAGGTATCCCAATGTAAAGCACCTTTTACACAAATAAAACTGCAGCCACACAAAGGGTTGTACTGGTGGAACTTCAGCGGTAAAAAAAAAAGTCATATCCATAACCAAAACCATATGAAAACATATGTAGAACAGGGTTAAGATGGCCTCAGCTGCAATCAGAATCCCAAAGAAATCTAGGTTAGAGTCTTCCACTGGTTGTTCTCTATTCTAGCAGAGGAGCCCTCTCATTAAACATGTTTTTAATGTACTAAATAATAATTATGCAAAAAAGTATCACCATAGTCGTTTGCAACATTTTCCTTTTCTGGAATTATAGTGGGGATAAGGAGGGCTGTTAAGTCAAATTGCTCATAAGCAAGTGAGTTGTTGTGGCTGGTACAGATTCTCCTAAGGAATGAAAATAACCCACATAATACGAGAGAAAAAAGGGGAAGTAACAGAGGCCAAATTTTGCACTTGTTTGTGCAAGCCATTTTGCCCCAGTAGGAGTTGTTTGATTGGATGACTGTTGCACAGCTAGATCTACTGTTTGGTCTGAGCTACATTTATTCCCCAGGTCGGGCTGGCCCAGGTTCTAGTTTCCCAGGAATGGGAAAAATCTGCCTTGAGATTGTAATGGTCTCACCTGCCCAGATCATCTATTGAACTGTAACAGGAGTTAACACACATGCTGATCTGATTTGTTTGAATCCTTCAATCTGGCAGAGCCTCTCACAAAGTGTGGCATGAGTGAACCCCTGTCCCTGGCAGGAGCTATTAGCACTCCCTGCATTCACAGGTGTGAATCAGTCCCCATAGATGTTAAGTTAAAATCAAACTACTAGAATTCAAATACCAGTCCAGATTCATTGCATTTTCTCATGCATTTCCACTGCCTCATGCATTTCCAATGAAGCCAGCAGGACTTCTCTAGGCATAAGTGGGCACTGAAACTGGCATTGGTCCTTGAACAAGCTAATATTGATGAGGCAGAGATTAAAATTCTTAGATCTAATGCAAACTCTACCATGGTCTGGAAGAAAAAACTTTACATAATGTGCATAACTGGTTTATTTGTTTTCGTCAATAAATACACAAGTGTTTTGTTTCAATACAAGCACAGGAATTTGCTCAATGATCTCTCATGCTGTTTACATATTGAATACAATAATATTGCATATGAATAAGCAACCTTTGGTTCTCTTCTACCTGGGGAGACCTTAAGGAGCAATTTGTTTTGCACATTAAACAATTGCTTGCAGAGGACAGCAAGGCAGGTGAATACCACACTGAATGCTGCACTCGGGAAAGCTAGGGACACTGTAAAACTTGATCAGTTTTTTGAAGGCACTTTTTTTGAGCATCATGACCTCTTCAGGCAGCTTGGAGAAGATTTTATCCTTGTCATGAGAGCTGGTCTTCTCGGAGGTTGCTGCCTTTGGGTTGTTGAGCTCACGAAAGCTGGTTGTGGGCACACTGTTGCAGCTGAGGGAGCGTGCCGTCTTTTTCTTATCTTGAACAGACAGGTAGCTGAATAGGAAAGAGGACAACTTATGTTTGGAGACATCTGGGACTTCTTCTGGAAAACAGTCATCCAGAGAGTCCACCTGGCCTTCCAGCTGCTGGCTGACCACAAATTTAGCGGGACTGACTGCTACCTTTTTAGGCTGAACGATTATTTTTCTGGAAGGGATCTTGTATTTTCCTTCATCTTTGGAAAACTCAGAAGTAATATTAACAGCATGAGGGTTGGTGTTACTTAGTAAATTAGGGGATTTCACCCCATCAGCAGAGTTGAGGGGGTGCAGCACGTAATGCTGGTTAATGATTTGGGCAGCAGTTTGTTGAATGATGTTCCAGTCTCGCAGAATGTCCTCCTTGGTTGTGAACTGGGATGTTACAGTGAAGCGGATGATGAATTTGTCATGGATGGTAGTTGGAATGAGGAAGAGCCTGCCAGAATTAGTCAGTTCTTTCAAGAGCTTTTCTGTCAACCAGTTGGGGCCCTGTTTTTAAAATAAGAATAGGTCTCCAATTACAATTACAGTTTATATTTAGAATTGCACCAGGCTGTAACAATTGCCAGGATTATGTTCCTTCATAGGAACTTCATTCATTGCAGTCAAGGTGGGAGACTGCATGGGATTACTGTTAATTCATTCCAAAACAAATTTTTTACCTTTAATCGAAATACAACCAGTCCAAGGTGTCTCTTGGCAGGGAGTTCAAAGAAGGGGTCACTTTTGACCAAAGATTCAAAGTATTTGGCCATTTCAGTGCCCTGTAATTGAACATGTTAAGTGTTTTCTTCTGGTCAGTTACAAAGCAATATGAAAGATATAAAAATTAACTGAATATAAAAATAATTTCCCCTCCCAGAAAAAGCCTCGCTCCAAAACATTAAGATTCTCAGATTTGCATAGTTATAAAGATTTCCCCAAATATCTGCATACGCAGCTATCTTGTACAGCCTTATCCAAATGCCACTGAAATCGGGGGAAAGCCTCTGGCTTGAGTGGATTTTAGATCAGACCCTTATAGACACACTTTTGGCCACTGAACTAGACTAAAGCAGTGGGCCTTATGCAGGTGTTCTCTGGTGAATGCCTGTAGAAGGAACCTGCCCTTTCACTTCTGAGCTGGAGTTGTCAGGAGACAAACTGCAACCATGGCTGTTACATTCAGTGGCTTGACATCTTTGCACCTAGTAAAGGTTTAAGTGGGTATATGTGGTTATAGATGCATTAACCAGGCAGCAAACCCTTAGCCTAACTCCAAAACTACCTACCACATTACATAATACTGCTCTGTAGCACTCACAGGGCATTCCGTTCCCCCACATGGCCAGGCTGTACCTTGCTCCTGAAGTTTTCTCTGTGTTCGTGTAAGAGAAGCAAAGTTTGCACCAATGCCTTCATGCAATCAGAACTGCCGCTGAAGTCAACAAGAATTCTGCTTGTGCAAGATGAGAGGCTGGATTCCTCTACAGCATGTGAGCATTTTGATATATGCAAACTTCCCGTGGGGAGGGGGGTCTCTTATTCAGCCTTTTCATCCTCATGAACTTAATTTACTATTATCTCACTGCACCTAAGTTATGTCCTTGCACTTGTTATGTTAATTCACGTACATGTCTAACGTGTGCTTGAAGCTTTTTCACCCCAAAGGAACGAAGCACAAACCAGAGCTTCAAAGAACGAAAGCGGCGACTCAGTGGAATCTGCCAGTGCTGTAAACAAAACAGTGTGTCAACACAGTGAAAAACAATTCAAAATTGTCCTAACACAATGCAAAAGCCTGAGTCTGCAGCCCTGTACTCAGGTTAGGGTGCCTGTTTACATGTTTTGCTTGCAGAACATTTTGCTTGCAGGAATTAATTTAGTAAATAACAATTAAAGGAAAATTCTGGGTTGATACTTTTCAAGGTATTCTAAAAAAAGTTTGTTTTGCTTCCTGCGCTGAATCCTTGTGATGCTTAGTGCAGTAGATACATCTCTGACTTTTTATCTGATTAGTAATGTATATTATTCCATTTCCCATTAGAGAAAGCGATTTAAGCTAATGTCTCAATTCAGGAAAATGCTTGAAAAAAAAAATGTTCAGTTCATTGCAGGAGAAGACAACAATAACCCCCTCATCTACATGTATAAGTTCTGTCCTGAACATACATTTTTTCCTGAATTGGAGGCTGCACATTGAGAACAGACAAGACAAATGAGACTAGATGAGTTAGACAAAGCAGTGGCAGCCACCTGAAAGGGAAACAGATATCATCCCTTATTAAAAAGAAAACTACATCAAATAACTCAAGAAAGAGCATGGCCACCATTTAACCGCCAGAGGGAGCCATATAGTCCAATGAAAAAACGACTCATAGGAAGGAAGAAAACAATTGCCTCTCTCAAGACCTTAGTGAGATCATCACTGAAACACTGGTCTATACAATACTGTTTTGTTGCATTGTGTTCAGACTCAGTCAGATAGATCCAAAGTGATATGTTTCTTAGCTCACCACCAATGGAGCAACTAAAGAATACTGAATTAATTTGGCTGCTGTTTAATTTTATTTTTACCCTGGAGAACTTCTACAATTTTTTCTCCTATGCCTGATGGAGGGTGTTTGTGCCCAAAAGCTTGCAATTAAAAAATTTGTTTGCAAAAATCTAGTTGGTCTAATAAAAGATATCACCTCTGCCACAAGTCCTGATTGCTTGTGTTTTGAAAACAAGGCATTTCTATACACAGTTCCCTTTAACTGTCTCATGTATCAGAATTATTCAGCTAGGTTGAAGTAAGACAAACTAATAAACAACACAAACATGTAAAAGTGCCAGCAACTACAACACACATATTGCAAGGAGGTGACCTTATTCTGGCAGAGGTACTGGGTAGACTCTCAGCTAGTATAAATTAGTGTAGCTCCAATTAAGTCAATGGAGCTGGACTGCTTTTTGTCACCTGAGGATTTGGCCCATGGATTTGGCCCATTTAGTAATACATGCAGACAAAACAATCTCCAGGACAACAGGAGACTAGGGCCAAGTTTTATTTAACTACTTCAATTTGTGTTTGATCTTTGAGAGTTTCTATGAA